CCAGGTTCTGCAGAGCGCTCTACAGGGCTTCTAATACAGATTTTACGCTCTACAAACAGCACTTTTTATGTTCTTTTACACACTGATATCGTACTGAGTGCAAAGAGGGTTCAGCATGTTCCCTGAGGACACAGCACGCTGCGCCAAAGGGATGAACCCCTAATGCTTTAATTGGAAGACCGCCCAACTAATGGGCCAGAGCTGCAATCACAACAAGTTTTATTACTAACCCTTTACATTTGTCGAGACATGTACCGACATTAAATTAAAAAAAATTAAAGCCAACGATATGTCACAATTACTGAACATACAGCAGATTACCTGCATTTAACCGTTAAATGCTTAGACGGACTTTTCACTTCAGAACGTGTCAAACTGAAGGCCCACGGGCCAAATCTGGCCCTTATGAACATCTCATCTGGCCTCTCAAGCTGATATTAAACACAGAATAATTTTATCGCTTCTCATTTCGTCAAAAAAAAACAACCGGACACCTAATTTTGTGCAGACTTCTCATGAAGGTTGGCTAAACTTGAAGCCAGAAAAAGGCAGAATTTTTCAACAATCTTTGATTTTGACGTGGAATGAGCAGTAGAGAACGTCAAATGAGGCTGATTGATTACCTGAACCAAAAAAAAAAAAAAAGCCATTGACTTGAGTTAATGTATCGACTGAAATGAGCCCGTGCCTCGGATCAAGTATTTAATTCTGCCACCCAGCAGTTTGAGAACCCTGCTTTAGAAGAAAAAACTACCTTTATTTGTTAAATGACCCAGTTGGTGCTACTCTGACGCTAGTATTTCAATGCCAGAACCAGTCAGCGTTGACAGATAATTATTGTATTTATGTGATAATTTTACGGTTCACAAGACATTTAGTAAAAAAAAAAACATATATACACTGCATCACTTAGCTCATGTGTCCAATCCTGGTCGTCAACGGCCAAAATCCTGCATGTTTGACCAGTTTCCCTGTTCCAACACTGTGAATTACCTCTTCATGATCTGCAGAATCCTGTTAAATCACCCAATGCTTCAAACCAGGTGTGTTGGAGCAGAGAAGAATCTAAAAACAGGCAGAACAGCAGCCCTGGAGGACCAGGATTGGACAGTTTGGGTCAAAATACAATCATTTTAAAGCAGCAGTACTATATTTTGTAATTTCCTTCCTATAGCAACCCTGAAGCCAGCGCATTGCTGGTCAAAATACTTAAAGAAGCCGTTACCAAAAAGTTCTCTGTATTTGAACTAGATCTTTTTAGACCGTTTGGTAAAACGACAAAGTATGTTGTACTATGAATTTGATTATGTATTTACAGGAGAACATCCTGTGCTCCAGCATCAACGTGAGGCACGGGGGCTGCACAGACCGTTGGAGTCAGCCTCCCCACCATCACAAACATCTACACCTCCAGATGTAGAGAGAGGGCCACCTGCATCATGAAGGACCCCACTCACCCAGCACACACTTTTCGCCTCGATCCCCTCAGGCAGGAGGTTGAGGCGCATTAAGTGTAAGACTCCTGAATCCCTTACCGGGATAATCACTGTAATGCCACTTTAATTGGAGATTTTACACTTCATCTGTGCTGCTGATTATCCATGCTGCTGATTTCTTACACCCATCTGCTCACAACAGACTCATGTTCAGGCTGCTGTTTAATACACCTCATTAAATTATTGTTTAGCGTATATCCTAGATCCTTGTATACTGTTTTTTTTTATATATATACTTTATATTTTTGGGTATAACTGCTATAACATTTTCGTTCCACCTCATGTACCACGTGACGCGAAAAGAACAATGAATTCATCTCCACTTTTAGATGTTTTGAAGACCAATAAACTGCTTTAAAGGCAGTGCAGTAAGAGCTTAAAAGGCATGACGAAAAAGATTTGAGGAAATTGTCCGCTGATCCAATCAAACGTGACTAAATGGACCTCGTTACATTTCAAGTCGATTCCTCCAGACGCCAACAAGATGTGATCAAATAACGTCCGGCTCATGTCTCCAGTTGCTTTATGGTGTTTCGCAGCTCACCACAATCCAAATACAAGCGTGACTATGGCATGTCAAAACTACTTTAATAAACACCGTATTGTCTGGCATACAAGTTGCTCCGGAGTATAACGCCCTATTCGCTCGGGATTAGTTTTACTTAGGGACCACATGCTATTTGTAATAATTATGGCGATTGTGTTGTTCATCCCGTGTGAATCGACCAGGTCAGTAATTTGTAAAGTAAAAATTTCACCGCAAATTACCTACTGTGTTTTGCTGAACTCTGAGGTCCTGTGATAATACTAATCCAATGTGAATAGGCATCTCTGTGATTTGAACAGAAATGGGCGGGATCCGATTCGTAATTAGGGCGGTTTAGGTCATCCATCCATCCAGCGTTCCTCCGCCTGCACCAGCTGAGTGAAGCGAGAGCGCACTGGAGAACTCGCTGCATTTCTTAGAAATTTACAGAATCAGTCAAAAATTGTGTTATGTAGATGGAAAAAAAAAATACTTGGCGTACAAGTGGCAGGACTGCCTAGGTCTGTCACGATAAATTTTGCTGAGCGATTGTCTCAGAAATTATTGCGATAAACGATAATATTGTTTGAAATTTAATAATTGTCAAATTTAAGAAGAAATGGTTAATTTGAGTGTAGTGCCTTTTTTGACCACTGGATGGTGGTATAAGACTGAACCAAAGGATGGATAGTGAGGGAGCGAGCAGTGTGTCTAAGAAAAATGGGAGGGAGGCCCCTTGACGTGACATGAGCCGTTTCTTGTTCCTATGATCGGTGTGATTTGAGCTCTTTAGCATAGCATTTTTCACACAAAGCTTTTAATAAAAAAAAAAATAAAAAAAATCAGTAAACAAGTTCTCGGCTTCTTCTTGCAGAGAAAACAACTTTTTACACGAAGCACGGGTTTCAACCGTGAATTTTGGAGCTTCGACAAGACGGAGGTCCAAAAACACGATTTTGGACGGTTAAAATGGATTTTAAAGAGAAAGGGAGGGGTCAGTAAAGAGCACGGGAGTTGAACATCTTGTCGTCCAGTGTCTTCAGTAGAAAGAGAAACGATAAAGCCGATAAATGAAAATGAGGTCGATAATTTGAATTTATCATGCGATTAATTGATTTATTGTTTACTGCGACAGGCCTAGGACTGACAAATCTAATAAAAAAAAAACCTGCGACTTACACGCCGGAAAATACGGTAAGCAGGGGGATTATTTAAAACAACGAAACTTCCACTGAAAGAATGAAAACTTTTTACTTTGTACAAAATGCAACGCATGTCTCTTGAACAACAGAGGTACAATGTGCACATTCAGCTTTTAACACCAGCAGTGATGCATCTTAAATTCTTTATTTTGCTGTGTCCCATTTACAGAAATACAGTGGTGTTTCTTAAACGACATGGTCTGAGAAGGGGGCAAAACTCTCACTCGAATCCCAGTTGGTAACTTATTAAAACACATTTCAGGAAGAAAAAAAAATAGACTCGATGTCTGCAAACATTGTTCCCTTCATTAAAGCCTTTGAACCAAACATGAAACGAATGCGTGACGTCCACATTCGACTCGTTAGGATTCACATTCAGAACACTGAAAACTGTGCGGTGAATTGCTTCCCAATCGTTCAGCGGATGTTTTATTTTAAGGAATAAGACAAGGCAGGTGAGATAATCAGAGTGCTTTACTCCGGCGAATAAAAACGCCACAAAACACCACACGATGATTGACAGAATTACTCTCCTTAATAGTGAACACAAACCAGCAACAACAAAAAAATAAAGAGATGATCAATTATAACATAAATAAGAAATGTAATAAATTATTACATTAAGGCACCTGAAATAAAAGAGTTTTTGACAGGTTTAGAAATGGTTCAAACACTTTATAACCTTGGTAGCTTTTAAACATTTTATTTTGATTTTTAATAATGTCTAAAAAGCTTTAAAAAAAATTAAATAAAATGAAGATTGTGCTTATTTTGATAACTAAAAAAATAAGTCTTGGGGAGAATTTTGCTTCTCCATCCTTAAATATTTAAATGAAACCGATTCAGTAAGCAAACCTAAACCAGAGCAAACAAAAATTTGCTTTTTAACTTTATAACCATTTTTAAACCCTTCAGAAAACCCTTCAGACGGTGGTACCTCGCTGTAAAGGTTCTCAACTGCGGGACACTGGATATTTAGTGTTATAAAACCTGCTTCTTTCTTCTCTTGACGGACATAAATAAAAGGAATGACATTGTAAAAAAATAAAATAAAAATAATATTAATAATAAAAATGTGTGACTTGTATTTAAGTTACTTATTTCAAATATACACAGCGACTCCTTTAGTATTTACAGGTATGTACAGAGTAGTCATTTCTGGGTTTATTTAGTTTTTTTTTTTTGATCGAATACCTCGAACGGCGCTGCTGTGAAACTGAACTCTAAATGTACGCGTATCCCTTTGAGATCAGAGAACTGGGAGATCAAACTGGGCAGCACGACTCGGAGCCACAACGAGACTCTTAGAAAGGCACTTGCTACCAACTCAAATACTGCAAAAATTCCTCAAATACAAGCTTTCAGCCAAAGACAACTGAGAGACAGGAGAGAAGGACAAAATAAAAAACACAATGGAAGGCCACATAGTAGGCACTGGGGTTTCTGTCCCCACTCCCTCCCCCTCCAGGCCGAGTGTTTTGGTAAGGCTTGAGCATGAGCCACAGGTGGATCGGTGGGCAACGTTTGGAAGGTGACGGAGCAAAGGCAGGGTTGGATACAAACAGTCCATTTTTCCTCAGAACCCTTCGTTCACCGTCTTCTTACCGTGTAGAAACCCCCACAGACACTGAACAGGAGCCCACGGACAATTTAACCAAACAAATCATAATCGTCTGTAAACAATCTTTATACAGCTTCTTTTTTTTTTTTTTTTTAAAGTCATTTCTTATAAACCAAATGTTTCTTTAATGGTACAGATCCATAACCCAAAAAAAAAAAAAAACAATCACAGAAAGCTTCTTTTGCTTCCTGGAAAAAAAAAAGTTGTTACATTTCAGTTTCTCCTATACGCGAAGAAACACAGAAGATCAGAAGCAAAAACGAGATGTTCACTATGCTCCAGCCTCCAGTGACAAACAAAAAAAACAAAAGAAAGGCTTAATAAAACACAAAGCCTTGTTTCCTTTTCAAAAGAAGTCCACAACGTAATAGAATAGTTGCTGCCTCGCAGCCTCTTGCTTCTGCATTGTTCCGTTTAAACTTCTTATACACAATGGTCTCTGAGCTGTTTCTGACCGGTAAAGACGGCGCTGACGTTTTTCCAGCGGTTGTCTTTCGGGCTGTAGCCTTCGGTCCGGTGGGGAGCTCTGAGGGGTGAACTGGAGCTGTGCAGGGTGCAGATCAACCCCCCACTGGACTGCACCGCAGTCTTAGAGTACTTATAAACTAGCTGCTTTCCTGCCTCGGCGCCTCCACACTCTTCCTCGAGCTCGCCCTCCGTCTCTTCCTCCTCCTCGTCCTCCTCCTCCTCACCATCATCACACGTCCGACAGGAGGAGCCCATGAGCTTTTTGCGCTCCTGCTCAGCCTCCCTGTTGTTTTCTTTCGGCTGCTGCGGCAGTGGCTGCTCGCGTCCCACAACGAGCCGCAGCGGCTCCCAGTGGTTGTTGACGTTTGCGTCGGTAGCCGCTTGTGAGGTTCTTTCACGCTCTTTTCTCCGTTTGCGCGTCCACCAAACGCATACGATGATGCAGAAGAGGCATAGCAAACAGAAGACGACACATAGAAGAGGCACTAGGTAATCTGTTGAGAGGAAAACAAAGGAACGAAATCAGGGGAAGTAGCACCGTAAATATGTTCTTGATCAGAAAACCAAATGGGACCAACAACAAAGCCTTGAGGTACACCGTTTTCATATCATTACTCACCCACTGAAGGTGGCATAACCTGCGTCTCCACTTTGACCTCAATGACTGCCAGCATTATGGTGCTGTTGTGCCTCTTCGATAAGGTCCCCACAATGGCACTGGCGGCCTCCTGGATCAGACTGTGGTCCGGTAAATTATCCGGCTGGAAAGACTTGAAACCACAACAGAAAGCAAGAAGAAGTTTAGAAAGCAGCAAGCAGTGAAATCAGGGTGTGGAACGTTTATATAAAACTGAACTTTTGTGACTAAGCTCTCAGCGAACAAGTTCACACAGGGCTGATATCTTAAATCTGGTGAATGTTGCGTCACTCCCAGTAGTAATGGATTTTACCCAAACCAGCGATTATCTTTTCATCAAAGAAAGTAAAGTGCATAGTTTTTACGCCCACTTGAAATGGTTAATGTACGTGTGCGGGGTAAAAACGGTTTCTGCAAACAAGGTATGCAAGCAGTTTTACTACGGTACTTCTTCAAAGGAAGCTGTAACCAAACGCCTTTCATGTCAGGACTTTAGACTAAGATCACCTTGTGCTGAGAAACGACAACCATTTTGATCAAACCTTAAAATTATTGATCAAAATCTCATGGGCTATTGCAATATCTCACATAACTGGTTAGAGCTTGCAGCGTTTCTTTGTTTCTTTAAAATCTGTCCAGTAGGTCATGAGATATTATGTTGACAGTCACACAAAAACAGTTTTGATAAGATAAAAAGTATGAAAAACTGTTTATTTTCCAGTGTCAAAATAACCTTAGTTACAACTACACAGTTTATTTTTGGTATTTAAACCATAAACATTAGATCTTAAGTTAGTTCTGTTAAGATTTGGCTAGTTATTTAATTCATGACAGTTTTCCACCTGGGAAATTACGGCATAACCTACTGTACATGATGGAAACTGTTATCAACCAATAGGAAGATTACAAGTCATTTGTAATAAATTATACTGAATAAAAATAAAAAGGTTTGGGTGATTGACTTACTATAGCCACCTCTACAGCATCCTGATTCGAATGAGAGAGGTCGCAAAGCAGAAGGAGGGCGTGGTCTTTAGCCAAGCTTCTGGTATCGGGAAGATACCTCAACTCAAAGCAAATGTCCTCCACTGTAGTTCCCTGCATGTGCACAAAAACACACATGGAGACTGGTCAGCAACCATTCTAATTTCAAAACCACCAGCAGCGACAAGTGACGCGCGGACTCACCGGTGGTACTTTGTCTCTGTTAAAAACGAGGGTTATGCGACCGCAGCTGTTGTCCAAATGGCCGCTGTTTGGCTGGCACTTTGTTGTCGTTTGTGGAGGTAAGGGTCCAGCCATCGAACAAACCCCCCACTGACCGCAAGGGGGGGAGAAACAGGTGTAGTAGCTGTGCTCCAGACACTCCTGTCCAGCTGGGCAGGACTTCTGTCTCCGCTCCTGGCCTGATGATTCGAGCTGGCAGGGACGACGACCGCATAGCACCTGGTGCAACAGGGTCAAAGTAGTCCTCATTTTATCCAACGACTCACCAATGGCTGAAGTAGATTACTTGAGGGTAATTTAGAACGATAGGCTACCTTTGTGCAGTCCACTTTTCTGTTGAAGCAGTGGCAGTTGTTGCACTCCTCCTCCCAGCGGCTGCCATGGGGAAACTGCAGACCAGTGTAGTGGCAAGGCTTCCCAACACCAATGACTACATCCAAACAAACGGCCACGTTGAGTTTTAGCAGCAAAACATTCAACAGACTTCTGTATCCAAGCCAGGAACTAAATGTACTTACACTCTTGGCATCGTGCTCCGGATCTTCCAAGAGGACAGATGCACCGGAAGCCATTGATCTCGTCCACACAAGTGGCTCCATAAGCACAGGGAGAAGACTGACACTCATTTATGTCTGTGGACAGAAAAGGGACCAAATTCAACTTGGACACGAGGATGAACGAGGCCAACTACAGACCTCTGATTATTTCTGATCAAGGTTCTGCCACACAGAGAACCTTATACACACGGTAGGGTGTCCCCTACCTCTCGCACAGCGACTGCTGGATATGGGCACCAGTGACCCGAAAAGGAAGAAGCGGGTAAAGATAATGATGGATGGGATCTTACAAGGAACTCCCAGAAGTTTAGTGTCATAACTATTAACAGATGGTGATAAACTGCTGGAGCTGGTAAACCACTGGTCTTAATAAACAACAACCTGGAGCACCTGAGCACCAGAATGAGACCGCCATGCCAAGGAATAAAGTAGCATTTTCCCTTTTACATCATGAACATGTACATCATTTGGTATCATAATACACAAGGAGAGAGAAGCAAGCTGGCCAGGGCATTATGACAAGTTCCACCTACCTACCATTAGCCCAACACCCCCAACCCAAAAATGGATTTACACTATGCTGCCCAAAACAATCCTCACTGTTGGTTAATCACATGTGAACCAATCAAACATACCAAATCCTTATGGAGAAGGTATAGTGTGGTGCCCACACCAGCCACCACATCACGCATACTCACCAACTCAACTCTGTGACTACCTCTGTTGTAAACCCAAACATTCATTCATGTACCTTTTTTTTTTTGCATAATTTGCATACCCTGCGACTTAAAAGCCGAAGCGACGCATTCATGGATTTTTCTACTTTATTAGACATATTTGGACTTGTGCAACTTATAGGGCAGTACGACGAGTACGGCGGAAAATACGGTAATTGCCATTACATTACCTTACAATGCAAAAATCTCCCAAGTCTACCCCTATGTGCAAATGGTGTTCCCTGATAATCGCAGCCTTCTTCAGTAGGATATAACTCTCTAAACAGCAATAAATATTATTTGAAGACGTTTACTCAAGATTCTTTCAAATTTGGAATGGCTCATATGCAGGATTATATTCAAACTTTGAATCAGACCGTATGAATGTCTGTTGGTTTGATATCTCAACTGAGCTGTAAGTATTGATTGCTTCACGCCACTGGCCACAGGTAAGTCTACTAAACCACCACAGCATTTTCCCAAACTTTGGTTGATTCAAGGCTTCTCTAATAAACTTATACTATTGAAGCAATTCCTCAGTCTCCAGGCATCTTAAAACCAGCAGGAACTTTGGTCTTTGTCCTTATTATCACACAAACCCAGCCTGGATGAGAATTCTCATATTCTAGCTGGACTACAAAGATTGAACGCTATCCGGTCAAAACAAAGGAACAGAAAAAAAATTTCAGGGTCACTGGGTAATTTGTCTTGGGAGTGTGAAAGTGTGACTGTGTGAGTATGGAGGAGGGACGACCTCTGACCCCTGAGGCGTCAAAGAACGATGAAAAAGGATAGAGGGCTTGAATTTAGGTGTCATTGTGTCGTCTAATCCTCGGCCACACCTTTCGTTCAGCTCCTTTTCCCCCCTCCATCAATCCATAATCTTCATTTTTATATTGCGTTTCTTATACATGCGTATTGAGGATTTTGTAATTATTTATTTGGCATCAAATCGTTATATTGGTAAGCAACTCACTGATTCTGCAGTCGGGTCCAGCAAAGCCTGGGGCACACTCACAGCGGAACCAGTTCACTCCATCCACACAGATCCCACCGTTATAACTGGGAGAGGGAAGAAATAAACAATTAGACGAGGCTGTACATCCTTTCCAGCTGCGGCAAAGTACATCGTTTGTGTGTGTACTTTAGTGTGTGCGCGCGTTAGCGTGGGGGTCACGGAGCTCAATTCAGCTCATCAATACAAGCCTCCACCTTTCAGATGCTAATAGGCGTGTCTAGTCCCTCCCCTCCCCTCCTCTCATCATGCCTCCCTTCCATACCGCCTCAAAGCCAAGCTGCCCCCCCACCCCCCCAGGTTGCATGGGAAGAATGGACACATACATCCCATTCTGCCACTCAACCTTCCCCCCAACCTGTATTCACCACAGGGTCGGTAAAACTCTTGTCTTCCCCACAAAACTCCCACCTCTCACTGTCCTATTCAGTACCAAAGCGACCTTCTGCGCCCCCCCCCCCAATCTCCTTTTTGAGGCTAGATTTAAGGACAACTTCCAGTGGTCTTTAATGGCCCATCACCCCTCCAGCCGTCTGTGTGAGGAGTGCAGGCGAGGAAAGGACAGAGGGAGACCACCAGATATTTGTGAGTTTTACAAGCAGCGTTGCCTACCATGGGTGAGAGTTGCAGTCGTCCGTGTCTGTGGAACAAACAAAGAGACAATTAGCAGCTGTTCTGGTCATTTAGACATTTTCAAAACGTTTACAGGAGATCTGGAACTATCTATTTATATATCTATCCATATCTATCTATCTATCCAACTATATCTATACAGACCCTTTCCAAAAATTTTGAATATCACGGAAAAGTTGTTTAACTTTCATAATTGCATTCAAAAAGTTCATCTTTAACAGATGATAGATTCAGGGCCCAAAATTTAAACAATATCAAGTATTTATTTGTTTATTTTTTACATAATTTGGGCTTCCAGGTCACGAAACCCGCGAAAACAGGATTTCAAAAAATTTGAATACTGTGAAGAAATCAGCCCACACTTCTCAGTTTTTGTAGAAAAGAAAGAAATAAGGATCAGAACAAAATCATTTAAAATATGGTACTTTCAAAACGACATGTCAATCTTCAATACACAGTTGGGAATCCCTTTGCCTTAATCACTGCCTCGATGCGACGTGGCATTGACTGGGAGTTATGGAAGCCCAGATTTTCTTGATGCTTGCCATCAGCTCTTCTTTGTTGTCAAGTCTGGTGCCCCTCATTTTCCTCTTGAGAATACAACAGATTCTCAATGGGGTTTAGATCCGGCGAGTTAGCTGGCCAGTCAAGCACTGTGGCATGGCCATCAAACCAGGTTTGGTGCTTCTGGCAGCATGGGCAGGGACAGGTCCTGCTGGAAGATGAACTCTGCATCTCCATACAGATCCTCAGCAGAAGGAATCATGAAGTCCTCTAAAACATTCTGGTAGACCGTTGCAGTGACCTTGGATTTAAGAAAGCAGAGTTTACCAACACCTGCACCGGACATTGCACCCCACATCATGACCGACTGTGGATATTTCACACTGGACCTCAAGCAGTATGGGCTCTGCTCCTCAACCTTCTTCCTCCAAACCCTTGGACCTTGATTTCTGAATGAAAGGCACACTTTACTTTCATCGGAAAAGAGGACAGAGGAACCCGACAGCTGTAGCCCATCTCCTTGATGCGTCTGAATGTGTTAATTTTGAAGCTGTGACTTCGGCCTCATTCCACTCTTTCTGAATCTCTGTCAGATTCTGGAATCTTCTCTGTTTGATAATCATCTGAAGCCCACGGTCATCTCTTTTGCTGGTGCATCTTCTCCTGACACATTTTGCCCTTCCACTAGACTTTCCATCGAGATGCTTGGACACAGCACTCTATGAACAGCCAGCCTCCTTAGCTATGAACTTTTGTGGCTTACCCATCCTATGGAGGGCATCAATGATGTTCTTCTGGCCAGTTATGTCTGCAGTCTTCCCCATATTGAACCAAACTGAAGCAATTTAAGGGCACCTGGGGAAACCTGTGCAGGTGCTTTGAGTTTAGTAGATGATTAGTGTCACACTCAGTTTAAAACATTCATGCCCTGCAACATTTGGGCCAATTTCTTCACAGTGTTCTAATTTTTTTAAATCCCGTTTTCGTGGGTTTCATGAGCTGGAAGTCCAAATTATGTAAAAATAAATAAATACTTGAAATTGTTTAAATTGTTGGCCCTGAATCTATCATCTATTAAAGATTGACTTATGGCTATGGCACATGTAAGAGCTGCCACACATTTGGGACTTTAGAAAAACCTTCAAGAACTAAACGAACTTTAAATCCTAAACCACTGAAACCTTTTAATCTGTGATACTTATGAGAAAGTTGGTGTATAAGTAGAATGATTCAGAGCATGGTCATTTTCCTGTTGGTGCATGAAACAATGTGCAGGCGGACTAACTTAGTTCACAGGTGGGGCCCTCCCAGCCCTCTTTGCAGATGCAGGAGAAGGTGTCTCCTCCTCCCACACATGTCCCACCGTTGGAACAAGGACTCGAGGCGCACGTGCTGTTTTTAGCTGCAGAAAAAAAAAAGTGCACAAAATTAAGCAAAATCCAAAACTATTACAATATCTTAAAAAAAATAATCACAAGTCACTAATTTTAGGTCTTCTGCAGAGAAAGATTCAGTTATTGTTGCTTTGTCTTGAAGTTATTTACGGTCCAGGATCCTGGAACTACAGATTAAACCGTGTCGGGCCTCACCTGTGTTGCACGTGTTTCCTCCCCAGCCAGGTGGGCACGCACAACGGAAGCCATCGCCGTGGTCATAGCAGGTGCCGCCATTACTGCAGGTGGTTTCATCACACTGACTCTCACCTAGGCAGAAAAAATCTGATTAATTTTATTATTTATTAGTTGTCAATAGAGTGAAACGAGAGGCAGAGCTTTCAACGATCAACCTCTTTTCCCGTTTGACGTTAGGAAGCTGAAACCTTCTCTATGTAGCAAATACGAAGGTGAGACGGAGGAAGAAGAAGTTTTTATTTATTTAGCTCTCGTTAAAGCAGAGCACCAGCTGGTCAGCTTACTGACAACAACAACTTAATATATTCACCCTTTAATGATCAGAATCAGTCACCGAAACAGAATCTGTTGATTACAGGAAGTTCTATACCAGAACAACTGAATATCCATCCGAATGAAGAGACCAAAGTTGTCTTTGAAGTTTTTTTTACAAAAATAATCAAACTAAAAATCAACAGCAATAAACAATTTTTCAATCAAGGCTTAATTCTCTTATCTAAGGCAAAATTAACTCTGAGCAGGAATTATTTGTTTTTATTCTTATTAATACCTTTAAAATAAAACTTGTAACGATCTGTTTTTTTTTTTTTTTTATTAAACAGCCTGGAAACACCTGGCTTCCTCTGACTCATCCCTTTAGTTATGCTTATTTTCAGCTGAAGACCCCATGACGTACAGGCTGCTTGTTTTATTCTTTTAGTGGCAACTTGGTTCTTTTTAACCCCCCGTCGCCGTGAACACGCAAGAAATAAAGTAAATACCCATGTGAGTTTATCTGTTAGCATAATATCTCATGAAGCCTTGAAACTCTCAAAGTAACGACTGATTGTGCATCTATAACTGATTAACTTTCAGAGTGTGCCACAGCTGTTACTTTAGCAAACACAAAGAGCTAAAGCCCAGGTAGGCTTACAGAAACTGATTACAGATTAGGTGTGGTGGTAGCTGAGGGTCATCCCCATCACCTGCACTGAGCACTAACAGCTCATGTAAAACCTTTAACACTTGGGGATACGAGTTGGCAGCCAACTTCATGCTCTCAACAAAGAATGCTAGTTTAATTCTGTCTGGAGATGCGGTGGCTCAGTGGTCAGTGTGGCGGGTTGTAATCGTGAGGCTGCAGGTTTGAGCCCGAGTTACTTCAGGAAGAGCGTCCGGTGTAAAACAATTGCCAAATCACTCACGAGAGTTTGCATGTGGTGGCAACCGAAAGAACAATATCTGCATCTCTGCCCTGTCCATTTTAAAACGACTAAACAACTGAATGCAACCAGATTGAGTCTGACCGTCTTTGAACCGACAGACGTGCACGTGAACACACGTTAACCGTCGACAGAACTCACGGGAATGGCAGGTCTTCCCCTTCCAGTTGTCGGCGCACTCGCAGTGGAAGTCGTTCACCAGGTCAACGCAGCGTCCGCCGTTCTTACAGGGGTTGTGTCTACACTCGTTGACATCTGAGGAAGCAGGAAGGTGACTCATTCTTTCTTTCTTCCATTCATTATTAAACGGCCTTCGCGTCGTACAAAGAGACTAAGAACCGGTGCAAGCAGGAGCATGACTTCTCCATTTCTTTTCCGAAAGCTGCGGAGATTATCCGTGAAGAGGAAATATTTGCAGTGAATTACGTGGGAGTTAAAGAACTCACTGAGATCGCAGAGCGGACCCTCCCAACCGTCCGGGCAGAAGCACTGAAAGGCGTTCACGCGATCGATGCAGGTGCCTCCGTTCCTGCAGGGGCTGCTGACGCAGTCATTAATATCTAAAACAGGGTGAGGAGGAGCAGGCGTGAGAATAAGTACAAAAGCACTCTTTAAAAGACTGTTTTAAGTGTTCCAGTTTCAGAAAGCAAGTTATTTGATTTCAGCCATAATAGTTCGTGGACTGAAACACCTACTTTCATGGCAGTAGATGCCGCTGAAGCCCGGATCACAGGTGCAGGTGAAGTTGCCTGAAGGCTGGCTGGTGCAGCGCCCCCGTGGTCCGCAGACGTTAGAGGGGATGCGCTGTACGGCGGCTGAGTCGTTGGTTGCTACGGCAACTGTGCAGCTATCAATAACTGTACAAGAAAACCAAAATATACATTTTTATTTTAGCACACAAGTCTGTCCAGGCGTCTTGTACCGCTGCGTATAATTACAGACACCTTGACACGGGGTGGTGTGGCACTCCTCTTTGAGCCGTTCACACGTCTTCCCCTCGTAGCCTTCGGGACAAGCGCAGTAGAAGTCCTGGTCCATGCTGTGGCACGTGGCCCCGTTCTCACACGGGTCGGGATCGCAGGCGTCTGACGGGGACCAATTAGAGATCTGTGGGGGTCGGAAAGGAGAAAGACGATATTTACAACCAAAATTCCAAAGATGCCGTGTAAAAACAAAAACGGATAAAATGATTCAACTACCTTTACAAAAAATACAGCAGTTTTGATTTTGAAAACAAACGCCTCAAAAAGGTTGTGACAGGGTCATGAATGCCACTTTGAAACGCCCAGAGTTCGTTTAGGAACCGAGGAGAGAAGCTGGTGGAGTGTTGGGAGAGATTCTCGTCTGATGGAGGATTCTAGCTGTTCAACAGAACTGGGTCATCTTCTCTGGATGGGACCACTAGTATAGATCATTCTGCAAAAGAGGTGCCTTTCCAGATGTGTAGGCTGCTCAAGCCTGAGGCTCTAATGCAGTGGTTCCCAACTCTGGTCCCTGAGGAACACCATCCTGCATGTTTTAGTTGTTCCTCTGCTCCAACACACCTGATCTGAATGAAAGGGTGATTAACAGGCTTCTGCCGAACTTAATGAAACCACTGAATCAGGTGTGTTGGAGCAGAGAAACAACCAAAACATGCAGAATGGCGTTCCTCAGGGACCAGGGTTGGGAACCATTGCTCTAATACATGTAATGTATTCATTTACACAAGCAACCTGAAAATTACTAAATCATGCCCCGAGCTGAGTGTCCTCAAAGCTCCTAGAAAAGAACCAGGATAATGAATCGTAAACAGTCATCCACATCCAGGGCTTAATTTGCAAACTGATCGATGCCGAAACGTAAATAGCGGGAGGGCTGGCAGGTGTTAGGGGCGGGGAGTCTGGGGGTCCTCCTCCAGAAAATTTTGAATAAAGTAGATGCGATTTCCTGCATTTTGGTGTATTTTTAACAGGTTGTTAAAAACTCCACTTCTGTCAAGCATCCTACGCCTCCACCACTCACTCGCTCCTGCTCCAATCTCCATTGCCGCTGCCTTCAGGTGCTTCAATTCTGGGTTGTCCAACTATGGACAACGGAAAGCCTTTTTTATGAACACAAATTGGACTGTCTTTTTGACATTTTTATCATTATACTGACAAATTAGATACGTAATGCGAATAATAAACATTTATCTTGTTGGATTTTTAATAAATTTAAAAAATTTAATGACCCACTTAAATTGTCAAACGGATTTGCAATTTAGTTGCGACATTTAATTCCATTTTTGAGTAATAAAATTGTGCAATGATTTTGGACTTTTAGGGGCAGAGATTTTTTTTTAAGGGTAGAAGCAGAAATATTCAAAGGGGCAGCTCGTATGTGATGTTAAGAAGCTCGTAAGTGGCTGTTGTGTTTAAAACGAGTGTTTACGTATTTACTTCTAGTTTATGCATACAATACAAGTTTTATTCGTTCAAGGCAGTCATGTTTGTTCATAACTTTATCATGAGTAAGCCTTAGAGTTACCAGATCCAAGCAAACAGTTTCCGGAACGTACCCTGTCAAAATAAGAGCGTTCCCGGATCCAATAGGATCTGGCTCAAATTAAGCTATGTCCACATCCAAACTGAAGTTGGAAAATTAAACCCGAACACCAACAGAGATTATGTAATTGTCAAGACAGAGATCTATAAAACGACTACTAAGAAACAGACGTTTTACTTTTTATACCACAAAATCTCCTGAGCGTATTAGTCACCTCCTTGCTGTTAGCTCAATAACCAACCTTCTATAATCTTAAAGCAGTTAAACTAAAAAAACTAGCCTCTTCTTTCATCGTTAAATTGGATCGTGTAGGGGGCTGCAGAAATCTGAACAGGGTTTCTCCATTTCAACACACACGATCTTTACACACACACAAAAAAAAGCCCTTTGTTGACAACCGCTAAGACAATGAAGCAAGAGAAACCAAAGGAACGATTGAGAAAGGAGGGCTAAAGTGCACGTAGATGAGCAGCTTAGAGGGTTCAAGCCTGTTGTCCTAAACAAAACTAAGGTAAGCAGACAAAGTCTCAGAAACTTTCTTTAAGCTCATCAAGGGACTCCATGCTTGTTGCTTTTACATCTCTGCCCTGCTTAATCTCGCAAGATTATTGTGAGAAGCCTTGTTGAGGATGGGAGCGGGAAACTGAGCAGGACAAAAAAAATTAAAAATAAATAAAAGATAACTCATTATGAGTGAGAATACCAACTGTGGTCTGTCATGCGGCGCCACAATAAACAGAATAAAGATAACTCATCCCAGCCAGAGGCCATTGTGACGTCTGAGCGTTTCTAAATGCTGCATTGCAGAGTTTAGAAAGAAAATCGTTCTGGTTTGTGTAAACAGAGGCCTACTGTGCATAAACTTTGGGTCGCACCCCATTTCCATTTAAGGAGGTGAACAGGGGAGGTTAGCAGGGCAACGAGAGTGTAAGTTAGTGGTCACGGGGCTTATTTTACCAAAAAAAGTCTGGGCCAGATACCTCTTTCTTCAACATTTCAGTGTGTGGGGTCAGAGTCTTTTCAGTTATAAAAAGGAGAACCCAGACCACGGTGAGGACTCTGCTTGCTCATATGCATATCCGTGTTAAAAACAGTCCCAGGAGAATGAGCCCAGTTTAATCGCCCGCTGACGGATACAGTAGGGCGATAATGTTTTTGTTGTGTCTGCACATGTGCATTAGCCTACAGCTAGCAAAACATTACACGACTCACTGAACAGGTTGCAATTAAACTAAATTAACAGATGAGCATCCACAACTGATTTTATTCAATACAATCAAAGATGGCCGCCACAGCAAAAGGGATGACAGGAAACGCAAAAACGATTGTAACGCATTCAAGTTTTCAGATAAAGTTAAAATTAGGTGTGGTAGTAGCTGAGACTGATCCACAAATTGTACTTACTGATGACGCATTTGAGTTGAAAACTTTGCCGTTAACTATTACAATCACCTGTTAGCGAAATATATTTTTTAATGAAGCTTTCAGAAAGTAGTAATCAACAACCAATTATCAATTGGGTTCAATCTAAATCAAGATGGCCGCCACAGACAAGTGACTAATGCAAACAAAAATGTCTATACTACGGTGGCCCTGAGGTGTAAATGAACATCTGAAAAAACTGAATTACATTAAGCCAAATCGAAAAGTTTTATTTTATTTTTTTTATTAACAACATAAAACAGAACAATGTACAGTAGGGTCATTCCTACTATTCAGTGCCTTTTGAGTCCCCATGCCATAATGTGGTATATTTTGTTTAAAAGTGGGCTAATATTTATTTTATTAATCTCATTCTTATATGTTTGAGTCACCTCTACCATAAAACACAACCATATGTACACAAGATAAATAATCTAATTTTAAATGCAACTTGGGTTTACTGCCATGTCCCATTTCATGCGTAATCAAATGAAGTTACAATTCTAAGTAATAAAAATGTAAAAAAATTAATTTAATAAATAATTTTTAATAGTACTATTTATAATAGTTCTCATCTAATGACTTTTATGATATCCAAATAAATTTTGTGCTTAAATTATTTAAAATAAATTGAGTCCCAGAGTCAACTGTCCACCCCGTTATTCTAAAATACCTGTCACCCCTAATTTGGCTTAATGCAATTCTGGGTTTTTTTTCCTCAAATGTAAAGCCGTGGTTTTTATTCATTTTCAAATGTAATTCCATGTTTTTTTTTTTCCATGTAATCCTGCTTTTTTCCCCAAAATGTAATTCCGTTTTTTTCCTCCTCCAAATGTAATTCCGTTTTTTTCCTCCTCCAAATGTAATTCCGTTTTTTTCCTCCTCCAAATGTAATTCCGTTTTTTTCCTCCTCCAAATGTAATTCCGTTTTTTTCCTCCTCCAAATGTAATTGTATTTTTTCCCCAAATGTAATTCAGTGTTTATTTTTTTCCAAATGTAATTCCGTTTTTTTCCTCCTCCAAATGTAATTGTATTTTTTCCCCAAATGTAATTCAGTGTTTATTTTTTTCCAAATGTAATTCCGTTTTTTTCCTCCTCCAAATGTAATTGTATTTTTTCCCCAAATGTAATTCAGTGTTTATTTTTTTCCAAATGTAATTCCGTTTTTTCCTCTCCAAATGTAATTCCGTTTTTTTTCCTCCTCCAAATGTAATTGTATTTTTCCCCAAATGTAATTCAGTGTTTATTTTTTCCAAATGTAATTGTTTTTGCCCTCCTCCAAATGTAATTCCGTTTTTTTCCCCCCTCAAAATGTAATTGTTTTTTTCCTCCTCCAAATGTAATTCTGTTTTTCTATCCCTCCACCAAATGTAACTTAAAATTTGGCGTGGTGGTAGCTGAGAGAAATTCACAACACAGTCCAAATGCCCACAGATCACATGAGATGTGGCTTTCATGGTTTGAACCAAACCATCATTTCTTAAATATGAACCCAAAAGTGTGGCATGGAAGACGGCAGGTGACATGCAGTCCTTCAAGGAATGCTAGGCTTCCTCCCACTCTGGTTGCCATTTTGCAGACGCGAGTCAAGTCAGGACTCAGGCGAAAACTGTTAAATCAAATTTCTAATGACCCGACTTGAGATACTAATCAGAGAAATATGACGCTCGGGGCATCAGAGTTTTTGCGTGACAGGACAGGAATGCACATCGTGCCGCGGCAGGTATCAGAGCGTGGGGAGCGTGCAGGCAGAGCTCCAGCATCACCTCACTCAGAGACTCAGTTATTGTAGATATTTTAAATCAGGACTGGATTTAGACCAGAAATGGCCTCCACTCAGGGTCCCAGAGATGCCTCACTGCTAACCTACATTCAGATGCATGAAAAAGGCTTCAGCAGAAACGGACTGTACAAAATGAAAAGAGCAAAAGTGTCCAGTGAAAAATGGGCTTGGCTTGCAGTGACAGATTATATTGCTCAACCTTTGAAGACCACAGCAGTGGTTTGGCGTGCTGGATCAGATGACTGTTAATTACCAAGACCTTTGAGTATTTTCACTGTTCTACAAGTCATCATGATGGAGTATGAGATCAGCTGCAGTGTCATTGTAAATCATCTGTTGCTCAACATACCACCACCCACTTTATAACTCATTCTAAGTTTTTAAACCAACTACTGTGCTGTACAAAAGTATTAAATCAATTATTTTCTTTATATTTTGCTGTTTTTCTGTAATCTGAAGTGATCTTGATCAAAAGCTCTCCAGGTCTTCTGAACTTTTTTCACAGTTTTTATTGGTATTTTGGCTGATTGTTCTCTCATAACCGTATATTGTGCCATGGGAGATTAACAAAATGGATAAGACAAAAGAAGTCGCGTCAGGCCTGAATCAGAAGACTTCGTCATTCCGCTTTACAGCACAACAAAATTCAAAGTTGCCGCAATGAAAACTGCATCGTTAAAATCAACAGGTCACACAATCCACGCCACAGAACACAACACAGGAAAATTAAATACTAAATGGCTAAAGCAGACAAATGAGCTACAGCAGAAACAATATCTGAAAATCACGTCCACACTAAAACTATGGTTTTGTCTTTTCTAACAATGTCTAAATAGAAGAAAACAAAACATTGTACTAACTATGTCAGGCCTGTGTGTAACACGGCCACAAACTACACCAAAAACAGGAAACAAGGCGTGGAGCATGTGCATCAAGCTGGGTGTTAAATGTAAACACTAGAGGAAGATGCCACTGGGTCGTTGGTTAGCTTAAGGTGAGCCGTGACCAGTTGGTGAACGACATCCAGAGGACCAGATTTAACTTTTTTAGATTCATGAGGGAGTCTCCTTAACGCCTCGTGACTTTTGCAGTGTTCTCAGTTTAGTCGTGTGGGTTGCAGAGGCGCGCGTCCTTGCAGCTTGAATTTTGAACTTGTTCAAAAAAACCTGAGCAACAACTTTTCAAAAATAGTAAAGTCATCATCTCTAACCCGTCTCCAGAGCACTAAGAGTTGTTTCGACACCTGCACAGAATTTTTCATTTTTTTTAAATGGAAAACATCCGATGCAAACGTCTGAATCTAAAAACCACACTCATAATACACAGTTATTAACAAACTGGTCCCAATCTGCTCATCGTTTTTATTTAAAAAACGTGTCTTCCAGCAGGTTAAATGATAAAAGTGGAGGCGGCTGCGATGTGGGCGGATGCAGGCAATGAAACGTGCAAGAATGCAGTTTTATGAGCCACGCAAACACTATATTGTAATTTAAAAAATGCAGCAATATGGCTCGATGGACTTTTGGTTGTAAACACTCAGAATTCAGCGAGACTGAAAGGAAAAACATATCTTAAACGATTTTTTCAACAATTATTAGATATTTTCCCTCCAACAACTAATCTCTACAGTTAAATAAAGCTATAACATCATCGTTTTCAAAAAGTTGTGTTTTGGCTGTCCACATGAAAACACATGTATCGTTTTAACTTTTTCTTTCTTTCTTTCTTGAACCCATTCTTAAGAACTGACCCTTCTGGGCTCCTAAAATGCAGCGTTGCCGTGTGGACGCAAAGCAGGAGAGATAAACTTCTGCATATGTACAAAAACTGTTCCACATATGAACAGTTTTTACAAATGGAAAAAATAATTCATTAATGACCTGACAGGATCTGGAGATGTTTATCTTTGGAATCACTTTGTTAGTGGTAAAAAAAAACACTGTTTTGTGTGTCCAACAACTTTATTTTACATTTGTTCCATACTTAACTAAATATTTTAGAAGTTTTCTGTGACAGCTGCCGGTAACAGAAAGTAAAGACACAGTAGCAGCAAAGTTCATGTTCAATAATCCAGGTACAAATCCAACAATGTTCAGTCAGGCCATCTAGACTTTTTTTTTTTTTTTGACGAGACATTTCGTCCTTCATCTAAAGGACTTCTTCAGTCCGAAGAGGCACAAACAAACTGGAGTCCCGCAAATACCACACTCCCGTAGTGGAAAAATACAGTTTGCTGTGATAAGATGGTTTTTCCACTATGGTAGTGTGGTATTTGTGGGACTCCAGTTTGTTTGTGCCTCCTCAAACTGAAGAAGTCCTTTGGATGAAGGACGAAGCATCTACTTAAAAAGTCCTACAAAAAAGCCTGAAGAAAAATTAAGGTCACTTTTAAAGATTACAAGAGGTTTGCTCCTTGGAAGCAGATGATAACGGCTTGTGTGATGGGACTCACCTCACACAGCTGGCCACCAAACTCTGCTGGGCATTCACACACGAAGCTGTCCAACAACACGTGACACCGACCCCCATTCTGACACGGCAGGCTTTCACATTTATTCCTCTGGATTTCACAGTGAGCGCCCACAAAACCAGGAGGACACTGGCAGTGGTAACCTCTCTGGCTTGTCTGAAGATGAAAATAAAATTTAAAAACGGTCAAAAAGTGCTACTTTCATCTGCTAATTCACACATTTTTACATTTCCCTTAAATGTAAAAAAAAAAATAAAAGGGAAACATCCACACCTTGCACACTGCTCCATTCTGGCACTGACCGTGACAGCTGTTGATGTCTGAGGAGAAAGAAAATGACATGAAGTTTATACGTCAAGTTATTTTCAGTTCATCACTGGGGTAAATCTAAAGTGCACAGATCAGGTTGAAGATTGGAAAGAAATGACCAAGTGAAGCCAAACCAGCCGTAAAACCCCTGGAACAGTCGGGCAGCATGCATGCAGAGCGACAGATTCAGTTCGCCAAAGCAAGAAGCCAACGAGTTGCCACGTGGGGAAAGTAAGTGACGCTAAACTACACTTATGTTGTGTGCTCAAGAAGTGAAAGTAGCCAGAAGTAAACGAGGTTACTGGAAGAACGGGTCACCGGAGAAGTGACTTTCAGGGAGAAATAAAATAAAATACTGACTGATGTTACAATTTTGTCCGAACCATCCCGGGAAACAGTTGCAGTGATATCCACCAATCAAATTTTTGCAAGAATAAGCGTTCACACAGGGCTGGCCTGCACACTCATTTGCATCTGTGAAGGCAGGAGGTAGAAGGAGTCCATCAATTCAAAGAAACCAGGGAGAAAAGGGGGAAGACACCAAGATCCAAACTTTTAAAAAGGAAAAGAAGCTAAATAAAGTTAAGATGTTAATACTGCGAACAAAAGGATGAAGAAAATACAAATATGATCAATTAAACTGCTTTTCTGACTACGTTTTTGTGTCCTACAAGAAGAAACAAGTGTGTTGATGCACAAGCGTCTCGTCGCTGCATGAAGTTAATTTTTCCACTGAGCACTACTGAACGTCAAATCTGAAGTCATCAGCATAGAGTGTAAAGTACCGTATTTTCCACCGTAAACGTTGCACCGCCCTGTAAGTCGCATCAGTCCAAATTTGTCTAATAAAGTGGGAAAAATCCATAAATGCGTCGCTTCGCCGTATAAGCCGTATCTATTCTGCGTCACCGCTGACAACCTGGAAATGTGGGCTGGTGTTCAAAAATCGACTGGCTGCCAAACGGCGGGCGCGGGAGCGTGCAAGGGAGGACTTTAACAAGATTTTAATAAGAATAACTCTTAAAAACAATTGTTTACTCGAAATTATAGTAAAGGTGTGTCTCAGTCTTAACTTTTCTTTAATAAATGCACTTTGACGGTCAATTCAGTTGCATTTTCAAAACAGATTCATGGAAGCGGGAGCGCAGGGGGGCGACTCGCTGTGCAGTTCTTCAAAATTTAACAAGATAACCACCTGAAACAATTATTTGTTTGCTCAACTTTATCAAAGGTGCGTCTCAGTCTAACTTTTGTTAATAAATGCACTTTAATGGTCAAATCAGCTGCATTTCGCCGAGGCAGCGCAGCAAAATGAAGCCGATTTGACGGTTTCTCCAGGTGAGCTGGACGAAGGTGGCAGGGTATGGCAAGCCGATTGTGTCATTAATAGCCACTTTTACCTATTACATGACACAACGGCATGCCATACTACGCAAGCCATCTAGAAGCTGAAAATGTTGGTGTTCAAAATTTTCATTCAGAATGAATTAAAACGGTATCTCAGCCAAAAATTGGTTTATAAATATGGAAAAATCCATAAAGTTGTTTCGATGTATAAGTCGCAGTATATGTAAATTATGCAAAAAAACTGCAGTACTTTTTCCTCCTGATGATTGTGTTTTGCATATAGTGGCCCCCACAGCTAAAAGCAAATAGCTGAAACTCGGTTAATTTAGCATATATTGCGCTCCAACATGGCGCTGTAGTAGCTGAGTCATCTCCAACTCATATTTTGAGCACTTAAAGACTTAACGAGATCTTTGTTTAAAACTCTGCTTGCTTGGTTTCAACCCCGATAGTTTTTTCTTGTGACCAATTTAAATTAGTTTTAGTATATTTCATCACAACCTAGATGGATGGATAGAGTAGTTCCACACACATTTGTCTCATTCACACATCAAAAAGGTGTAGTGCCGGGTGTGCAGTCTGCAGGGAGTCCTACGCCGCACACCTCCACAGCTGTCGTCCCTCTGAAACCCAACACCTCACACACACCAACGCTCAGGTAAGACAGGAGGCCTATACCTGCTTGTAAACCGAGATCTGAACATGTAAGGTGACGCTGAGCTCCAGGGATCTCTTTTCAGCCTTTACCCCCACCCCACCCCCCACTCACATCAGCTTTGTTTACTGGTCATAATACATTTCCTGGCTTGACGCCGGTCACGTCCGCTCATTGGGAAAGGAGCCACGCAGACACAAATTCCACCACCAAAATACCAGCAGGAAAAAGACGAAGCAATAACTTTTAAAGACGTTTATAAAAAATAAAAAGTGTCACAAGTGTCGAACCAACCAGATCATTCAGGAAAACGATGTTAGTTTGAGTCCAAATAACGTTAAGATACCAACTTTAGGTGCAGACCTGCTTTCCAAAGATCTAAAAGCCGGGACATTAGGCGTCAACTTACCTATCTGGCAGGTCTTTCCTTCCCACTGTGGGGGGCACACACACTCAAAGCCATCATCCAGGTCAATGCAGGTCCCGCCCCGAGCGCATGGACTGGAGGCACAGTCGTCCAGATCTGAGGAAAACAAACCCCGGCCCCCTCAGCTGACTTCTAACTCATTGCAACATTTAACCAAAGGACTGAACGGTGCAGCAGTACGATCCCATTCCAACATTAGTGTTTAACTGGGATGGGATGGAAACAGCTGCAAACATTTATAGGTATAATAATAAAATAAACATAATGGCGTGGTAGAAGTTCAGCCACTCACTGTTGGCGCAGGTCAGACCCTCCCAGCCTGGCGGACATCGACACTCGTACCCTGAGGGGACCTCGTGGCACGTACCACCGTTGGCGCAGGGGTTGGAGACACAGGCGTGTTCAGCTGACGGCCACAAGGTCAAAGCTAGCTTAAATTCCCAGTCTGTTAACAGTTCTTTCACTATATTCTATCTTATGGCAACAATGATCTTAAAAGGTCAACCTGAAAGATCTAAAAGTAAACCTGACCGAAGCCTCACCTATCTCACAGTTGTCTCCAGAGTAGCCCTGCGGACAGGCGCAGTGGTACTTGTCCGGTTCGGTGTTCATGCAGGTCCCTCCGTTGACGCAGGGCTGGTGGTGGCCGCAGTAATTCAGATCTGACGGGAGAAGTAGCAGGAAAACATGACATCAGCCGATCCTTGGAACAGGTTTCTGCTCTTCAGCTCTTATAATCTCACATTTTATGCATCATCCAACTCTCTCAGACCACCTCCAAGCACGTGAACGTCAATAATGGTTGCTCAGTTTGTCTGACTGGAAACCATCCCTCTAATTAGTCACAGGTTGCAGGAATACCACACACAATAATCGCTCCTGCTAGACTCGGGATGAACCCTGGAGGTCTTGTTTTGTGGTGCATCTCCTTCAGCAGATCTTAACCCTCAGTTTTAGATTCGTGTAAACCTGTCGAGGTTAATATACGGTGCATATTGATGTTTCAGAGCAGCCCAAGACACTTAAAATTTACTGAGAGTTACCACAAGTCATCACCGCTACACGTTTTTAAGTCGCTTCTGTGGATTTTCAGGTTTGACACAAGTTAGAACGTTAAAGCTGTACGTTAAACATTTAGATCTTTTCCCTTTTTCTTTACTTTGACAGGCTTTTTTCAGTCTTCTACGTCTATTTTGTCTTTTTTCCCTGGGATTTCCCAGAAATCTCATTGCAGTCTTGGCTCTCCGTTGACCACCAGCTGTCTGCGTTGGCAGCAAGCGTTTTCTCGACCGCTCTCGTGACAATTTTTACTGTATTTACAGGATGGAAGCAGGTGGCCTCGACTTAGAGCAGCCTTTTATTTATGGAGAGCTAGTTCTGTAAAAACAGCCCGATGCCTGCAATCCAGGCTGAAAGCCAGGTTGCCCAAAAGCCTGGTAAATAAATGAGCAGGAATCGTCTCCACTGGGGATCCGAGGACCTCTCTCGTCCCTCAAAGAGCCCCGTCAACGGAGGGATGCGGGGGGGATCGTGTTTCCCTGAAGCTGCTCGGATCACACAGGCAGTAAAACTATCCAAAGACTGGCTTCCAATGAAAGAGTCAATTCAGGCTTTAATTGAAATGCTTTAATCTTGAGAATTAAAGAAAAGACTAGCTTAAATAAATAGAACAAAGGTTTCTACGTGTGGAGTTATTAAGGCAACATGATGCAAAAAAAGTTAAATCATCAAGAGTACGAGCACAGTTTTGTTCTGTAGCAGAACCTCTGAACTTACTGAAACGTTTTACTTCTGTAGACTAACAGAATGCTCTGATATATTCATCATTTAACGCGAGTTCCTCATTTTTCTGGACTGAATAAAACGTGCACTGAATTTAAGGAAATGCAAAGTGAGACGTCATTTAAATTTGACCCATCAAAATGAATGCGGTCATTTATTTACAGAATCAAATTTAACATCAAACATTTACATTAATTTGGCAAATTATGAAAATAACAATATAAGCAATCAATCAGGAAAAATCATACGGCCATGATTTTTCCGTTGCTGACATTTATAAAACTGTACAACTATGATCTTTTACCCACACGGATGTGAATAAGCACTTTACACAGACATTTCTAAATATCTGGGAGAATTTCTACTTCATAGGAAAGTTTAAAGATGGAAAGAAGTTTAGGGGGAGTAAAGGATGGGGTTTGAGGGAAATTGAATGGTCACCAGAACCGACACTCTCCATCAGAAGCCCAGCTCGCCTCGGTACGCTTGGTAGGAAACTTGACCCATTACCTCTCTGATGATAATCAGCAGATATGGTGTTCCGTTAACGCTACCGGTCCAGCGTCTCCTTAGAATGGCTGTTGCCCGTCAGAAGTAGTGGCGAGGCTCTGTTCGACACACATTCACCTCAGTGGAAAATGTTATAATCCCATGGAACTCGGAAGAGCTTTGTTGTCATGTCAGGAACTCCAACAGCACTCCATCAGAACTCAGCAGAACTTGAGTAGACTCTCACCGAACTCTACGCTTTCAGACTCTTAGAACTCCGACAACTCTCTGAGTCTGTAACTCCGTGAGACGTAAGTCACTCTGTGAGTACCTGTGAGTCCGTAACTGTGTAGACCAGGAAGTACTGACATTTTAAAGACTCTTTCCCGGTTCACTTTTTGGGATTTTTCATTGGTCAGAAACGACCAGAAGGGGTGTGTTTTTGTGACGTAAGGGGTTAGAGACAGCGAGAATTGTTATGAGACAGCTCAGAAATGTTCTCACAGACCGAGAGGGTTCTGTTTTGGCGTGCCTAAGACACAGGTGCAAAACATCTCTATTTACGTCTGAGAGGATTCTAAAACATGACAGTTTTAACATAACAACTTGTTTTTCGTTTGACTGTAACCTTGTAAACGCACACACTTGCTCATTCAAAAGCAGAAATCAGAAAAATGCATAATTACTCTGCAACAGCTTTTAACATGAGAATAAAAATCATTACTCAGTTAATAAAATTGATTAGTTCACTGCAACATCTAAAATGGTTTGAACTAAGACACTTTGATTATCAACATTTGTAAGATAGTAATGATAATAAAAAGAGAGTGTTCTTTTCACTTGAATCTTCAAGAAAGAAAGTCTCAGGATGGGTGAACCTGTATCTATGTATTCAAATACATGAAATGACAGTTCCTGTCCCACAAGGTTCTAAAGGTCAAGAGTTTTGACCTTAGACTGGGTTTCGACGTAGGCCTAGTCCACTACAGTCCCCCCTTTGGAAATCATCACCTGTCCATGGAGATGAATTCCAACTATGGACTTACGTCGTCGATTGTCCTTGAAGCTTGATGTAATCCAGCAAAGAAACAAGAGTCAAGAGTAATCCAGCAAGGAAAACAAAAGTCAAAAGTAATCCAGCAAGGAAAACAAAAGTCAAGGTAATCCCACAATGTTCTTGGTAATTCCATTGTGTTGATTATAATTCCATATCGTCTCGATAATTCCATTGTAGCAATGCTTTAACCCCTTGGAAACAGAGTCTGTAATCCACTGGAAAAAGTCATATAATCCACAATGGTAAATCCACAACGATTGGAAGTGTTGATTAATCAGCATACAGAGGGGTACCCTTGGATTGAACTGAAGAAGCGGCCACCGGATGAAGAGTGGAGACCAACGTCAGGATTGCAGGTCGCCTCCAGCGAAGGTTGTCTCCAGCGACGTCCAGCCCGTGCCGTTCTGGTTCAATGTGTCATGCAATTATGTGGTTTAAAGTGGGCTTATGAAGGGGATTTTACATAAGGCCTTAAACTATATGCACCTGGTGTGTAAGCTATTATGGTTGAGAACAGCTACGACTACCAGTTAAGGGGTGGAGCATGCTGAAAAGGGGTAACTACAGGGGTTTAAGCCTATAGAAAAGGGTTCCAAACTACTTTTCCATTTCTAACTTGGGTTAAGTTAGCTTTACATGGCAAAATATAGTTTGGTTCAAATGTCTGTTGTCTTTTAGACGAACGACTTGAGATTGGGTGTTTGGTTT